GGAGAATGGCTATGGGGGGTACGTTGTTGTTGAAAATTGAAATGCGGCAACGAAGGTCCGCCATGGGGTCTATTTTTTTTTTTTTTCTCTTTCTCTCTTTATGTGGGTGAACCCCCATTACCGGCAATGCAGAGAAGGTTGGGGGGGGAGGAGGGTCTATGGCTATGGGGGGTAGGTCGACGACGGGGGAGCGGAAGCCACGGGTCTGTTTTTTTTTTTTTTTCCTTTCTTTAAGACGGGTGAACCGCCATAACCGGCAATGTAGTGGGGGATTGGGGAAAAGGGGTGAACGTGTGGCGGGTGGGGTGGGGTCCGCAATGAAGTGCGGTAACGAAGGTCCGTCCTAGGGTCAATTTTTTTTTTTTTCTTTCTTTATGTGGGTGAACACTGAACCGCCATGAGGGCCAAATTGCCGGCAATGCAGTGGAGAATTGGGGGAAAGGGGTCTATCATCTATGGTTGCAAGGGGTATGGTGAGGATGGGGGCTCGTTGTTGGAAATTGAAATGCGGTAATGAACGCCCGTTTCACGACCTTTTTTTTTTTTTTTTTTTTCTCTTTCTTTAGGACGAGTGAATTGCCATAAGTGGCAACGCAATTGGGGTTAGGGGAAAAGGGGTCAAAGTGTGGTCGGGGGGAAGGAAAATTTATTTGTATATTGTCCTCATTTCAATTATTTTGTTTTCTTTCTGTTTTTTCCTTTTTTTGTTTGTCGTTGTGGTTGTTGTGGACCTTGTGGTAACAGTCTATTTTTTTCAGGGTGATTCTTCAGTTCTTCAGTGCAGTTCTTTGTTGCCGCACTTCGTTACATTTTCTTGGGGGTGCGCATCATGTCTGACCCACGCGGCAACAATGGGAAGGGCCCTGCGGACTTCTCCTCGGCAACGGGGAAGAAGTCCGACTGTGGTAAAAAAAGTCACAACGCAAAGATTTTTGACTCCCCTTTCAAGGCTGATCCAAAGGCATATGCGAAACGTGATGATCCTGTTTGGCATTTTGTCGTACGTGGTCGTTATTTAGATGGATCCACTGCGGTCGGGAGAAAGAACGGTCGTCGCGGTATATGCAAATTGTGTGGCCGTTCTATTTGTGGGGGTGCTCGCGATGCAAAGAAGCACTTTTATCGTGGCGAGAGTTACATGTGCACTGTGGCCACTCCGGCAGTATTGCACGCAATTTGGTCAAAGGATATGTCCAAGTGTTCTGCACATCTGGTTTCAGCCGTGCAGACTTTGCAGGGTTTCCCTCTAGGTCATCCATCTTTTCAGTGGCCACCACTTCGTTTCCCCGAGGACGCAGTTTCACCACCCCCGGCGCCATCCAATCCCTCGCGGGCGGCACGATCTCCACTTGCTCTACGTGCACCGCTCCCCCCTCGTCCGGCAGCAGTGTCACCTGCACCGCTTAACCAGACAATTCCCGCAGCCATTGCTGGTGCAGTTTCTGGTGGGTGTGCACTAGATGCGCGTGTCATATCGTCGCTAGCAGCGCAGGCTGATGCACAGGGCCCTGTGCCGGTTTCCGGTGTCGGGGCACGATAGCAGTTCGACGAGGCGGGGACTCGTGCTTTCGTTGAGGGTCATAGGTGGGGGAAGGACGCAGGCACATCAGCCGGGAGAGCCCCATTGTTCGCTGAGAACAGGAATAGGGTTGCGAGAGTTTCACGTGCAGCCACAGGTCCGGCCGTGGCGGGACCAACTGTAACAGGGCATGAACCCGCTGCTTATCCGTGGTTACCACCCCCTCCTTCACAAACACGAGCTCCTGCATCTGACTTCTCTTCGGCACCTGTTGGAGACGTCGCTGCAGCTGTCCCTGAGGGGACGGACATAGTCCCGCCCGACAGCCCCGTTCAGGTTTCAGACTCGTCATCCACACTTGCACCAGTGACAACCCCGACCTCACAATACGGTGTTTTCGAAAAATTTGATCCTTTACAAAATTTGCGCAATATTGCGGCCCCGAGTCCGCCCTCTGCAGCATCACCTGCGGTCGGCGGTGACGTGTGGGATTATTTGGGTGTAGGCGTCGGTGCACGAGGGAGGGGCACTTTCAAGCAACAGGCGGTGACCTCGTATTACAATGACCCTCTGGAGCACGAATGGCATCTTCAGATCATGTGATTCATTGTTGAGAGCGGCATGTCGTTCAACTGCGTGAAGCTTGAGAGCTTCAAACCCATGTTGACGGTGATCATCCCGCCTGGAGTGTCGGGAGCGCCCACCCCGAAACCCCCCACGTATCATATGATTCGCACTACACTTTTGGATGAGCTCGATGCCGAAGTCCAAAAATATGTGGCACCTGTCCTCGCTACTGCAGCTACCTACGGTTGCACGATCATGACAGACGGATGGACGAACATTCGGGGCCAGACGTTGTGCAACTACCTTGTCGGGACTACGAGGGGTGCCACATATGTCGCGACAGATATTATGCGAGGAAAGAAGGATGCCGCTGCTCTGGCTCGGACTTGGCTGAAGAGGTTGAAGTCCCTTGACATCAAGCTTGCAGACATCACCGCTTTCGTCACAGACTCGGCCAGTTCGAACGTTTCCGTGATAGAGGTGTTCCAGAAGGACGAGTCTGTAAAGCACATCTTTTGGATCTCTTGTGTGGCGCACGTCATGGATCTCATCCTTGAGGACATTGGCAGCATTGGGTGGGTGGCGACTCGCATTGCTAGGCGCGGGTGATCACAAAGTTTTTCAAGCGCCATAGTCATGCCCGCGAGGTTCGGGAAGCGTTCACGACGATGGCACTTTTGCTGCTCGTCGAGATGCGCTTCGGCACGCATGTCATCATGATGCGGCAACTTCTTCGCCTGCAAGTGCATCTTATGCAAATGGTCATCGATGATCGATGGAAGGACACTGTTTGGTCGACGAAGAAGATTCGAGATGACGTCGCGGAAGTCACAGCATGTGTCGGTTCTTCTTTGTGGTGGGAGGATATGAAGGCGGTGTGCAAGTTGTTGGATCCCATCATGGACATGTTGCAGATGGTGGACAGCGACACGAGGCAAATCGACAAGATTTTGCGCCGGTACGACGAGATGATCGTACGTTGTTTTCGACACACGCCGAACCATGTTCAAGTCGCCGGCTCAGGTGGCCGCCATGATGTTGGATCCAGAGTTCCGAGATCGTACACTGGCGGACGACGAGATGCAGCAGGGTTTGATCACTGATCTGGTTCATTTCGGATACCCACAGAGCTCGGACCAGCACAAAGACGTCCTCACTGCCATCGATAAGTTTCATGCCAGGGAGTCACGATTCGACGACGTGGCAATAAATCGAGCGGCACGGAGCTATGACCATCCATCCGCTTTCTGGGAGTCGAAGGAGAAGAGGTTCCCGCATGCAACCTTCTTCGCCAGCAGGATACTACGTATCTGGCCGACAACATCGCCTTGCGAGAGAGTTTGGTCCCGCTGGAGCTTCATCCACTCCAAATCCCGTAACAGGTTGGAGGTCAGACGGGCTGAGAAGCTCGTGTGATGTCATTGGAACCTTTGCCTTCTGAACAGGCAGGCTATATCGGACGATGCTCCCAACGACAGGCCACATCCGTACGGGAGTTGGGTGCATTACTGGCAGCAGGTGGAGGACGAGTTGCCCACAGACCAACAGCTTGTCTCAGGCCGAGGAGCCTGGACAGCAATGACGCAGGAGGAGTTGATGCAAGCGAGAGAGAGGATGCGTGCTGTGTCCCGCATGGGAGCCACGCGTCGATTGCGGATGTCTGACAGGAGGAGACATTGTAGCGGCGGTCGTGGTGGTGGTCGACGGGGAGGATGGAGACAAGGCGGGCGTGGAGGTGCTGGTGGGAGGAGTTCTACAGCGAGTCGTCGACTGCCGGTGGACGAGCTTGTACGCAAGTCTCGACAGCGTTGGGACGAGGGAGACTTCTTATATGAGAGTTCGTCCAGTGACGATGAGGATTTCTTTGGGACTACAGGCATGCCTGCATCGGACGACGACAACGATCTTGGAGACCCCCACCCGGACGGAGACAACGACGACGGCGCCGGAGACGATGATCATGGTGATGGTGGAGATCGGCCACGGACCCGCGCGACACTTGCAGGTGGTGACCGAGGACTTGACGAGGTGGCTGACGGAGATGATCGTGATGAGGGTGACGCTGGGGTGACGATCATGGTGACGGCGACGGTCGGGGAGGGGCAGGCGCAGTGGGCTCCACACGTGAAGCCACATGCAGAGGGATCACTGCCATGGACGTCAACCACGACGCACGGGACTATGATGATGGAGATGGAGGGGGCGCCGACGGTCCAGGACTTCTTCAGGGCGGTGCCCTGCAGCGCTTGAGATGTGGACCGAGGGAACGAGACACTGTCGGTTCACGTGTGTGCATACGTCACGGTGGGGGTGTAGTCGTTCCACGACCACGAGTCCATGCTACTGAGCAGATTTCGATTTTCGAGGACTCTTTCAGTAACGATACCCACGAGGAGCGGACCAAGCAAAATGATGGGAGCGGCTGTGCACGACATCATACGAACGGTATGCACGCGACAGCGCCAACAGGGTCCTCTGCAGTAATCCCGGAACCGCCACAGTGCAGCGGACCATTGATGCCTCATCCTGAGATCGAGGGACATGGCGGTGATGATGTGGTAATGCAGGACGAGGGCAGTGCTGCGGCACTGCATCCACTCACATCAGCTGGTGGACCCGAGGTAACTGCAATGACTTTGGACACGAGACGGCCACCGGCAACGGTGGAGCAAGAGAGTATGCTCCCACCTCGGAGCATTCATGGAGTCAGCCTGACGCCACCACGTTGGGGGTAGCTATGCAGCAATCAGAGACACAGGGTGCTGTCACAGATGACACCGCATCCCGGCCACCGCCTGCATTGCTGGAGGAGAGTCAAGAGACTGTAGTTGCGCGTTCAAGCGTCGACATTTTGGCAGGGGAGGTCTCACACACTCCCGCACCTGAGCAGAGCGTCGCAGGACATATCGGGCTCGCACGCCCCACCGGCAGCCTTCCGAGTACCGCCGAGTTACTGGCCATAGACTCCGCACTCATCTCTCTCCCAGACTTGTCTACATTGATATCTCCTGATTTACCCCACGTAGCACCGCCTTGCCCACATTAGACTGTCGGCATAGAGCGAGGACCAGACGTGTTTGACGAGTTTGGAGGTGACACGATAATCCTTCCGACGTTGTCCACCACACCCACAGTGTTCCGTGTGGGCAGACCACACGAGGTCGAGTTCGGTAAGGCCGAGACGCACACACGACACCACCGCGATGCTCACCGCAGCATTGCACAACGCAGTCTGTCTGATTCATTCGGTGGGCTTGAGGATGGTGGCTTTGGATCACGTGACGCAGTTGACAGAGCAGCTCGACCTCCTCGTCCGCCATCACATGCAGAGCATCAACCCATCGACGTGGCCGCCTGCGCGGTTGCAGGCGGCGCCGCCAAGGACATCACGGACAAGGCACAACATCCTGTGGCGGGGTCATCGGCGACAGCACCACGCGACAGAGCTACTGTTTTGCCGAATTTACATACTATACCAGCGGGACCAGTGCTGGGGGGTTGGACGAGCAGGGAACCGGGATTGTTGGCAGGTCAGCAGCAACATCTACGGGGACACGATCCATAGGCACTGTCGATGGTGCTCGCCACACCGCCATGACAGAGTATGAGGCCCGACATGGGAGTGCAGTGCCGACAAAGACATCGGATGTCCAGGCGACGAGGGCCGCTAAGGCGAGTCTTTCTCGAGCGAGGAAGAAGGCCGCGGAAAGGACGACGTCACGATCGCCGCCGCATATGCGTTCCCATATGAGGCGATACAGCCCTGCGCATCTCGAGGACGGAGAGATTTCGTCCGAGAGCGGCGCATGGGGTGTTGGAGGGAGGAGCACAGCGGTGCTGGACCACATCGGCAGGGATGGTGCAGGGGATGGAGTGCGAGGAGAGAAGAGACGCGGTAGTATGCTTATCGTCCACGGCGACAACACGGATGTCGCCCCTGGAGAGACCAAAGGCACTAATGATAAAGGGGACTCTGATTACGTACCTGAACTTCCTAAAGTACGGGCGGCGGACGGAGATGATGGAAGAGGGCGACGGGTCAGACGGAGGACACGACTTGGGCCACAGGGGCCTCAGCGCACACCATCGGCGACGATTACTGCACCAATTGATCGGCGAGCTCAGGCGCAGCGGCTGCTGCGCAAAATGGAGGCCACTCTTCAAGAGACACATGCTGCATCATTCGGACACGGACAGTCGAAGCCTGAGAGAGAGAGAGAGAGAGAGAGAGCGACTGTTGGTTTCAGGCTTTCTGCTGGTTTTGCGGACCACAGGTGACTTGTTGATTTAGGCTGCCGAGGGTGAACAGTGTACAGTAACAGGGAGTGTTAGATTCGTAATTTTTTTTGTGTCATGGACTAACCGCGAGTTCGGTACTAAGGGAAACTCGTGAGGAACATATCTGTAATTTCTCAAAATTACAAGCCCACAGCTCCCTTACGCCGCACTGCGAATAGCAGGCCCGGGCTACCACTAGGACGGGAGGCCCTATGGCCTAGGCCCGTAGCATGAGAGCCTATAGCCGAGGAGGTCAAGGCCCGATAGGCCAAATCTGATACGGTACCGGTTGGTCCTTAATCTTGGATTCTTGGACTGTTTTTTTTTTTTTCTTAACCCTCACAGCCTCGCAGGTACCTTCTTGTGTTTGGTTGTTGGGACTCTTGGGGATACTGTCAGAGAGTGAGAAACATCCAGTGTTATCTCCACACCTGTGCATAGTGTTTTCCAACTTTCCGCTGCTTGCGCTGTTTGTATGCAGTTCACTGGTGTTCTGTGTGACTGTGTCTCCTCTCCAGGCTCTCCCCTTTTTCTTATGCATGTATGGGCACGCGTGAGATTGTCTGCGTGTGAGTGTTCGTGAAAATCGACAGAAAACCAAGTTCATAACAGATATGAACGGTTGTGCTGCTTGTGCATAAATTCGTGCCAATGTTTTCACCTTGTCTCTGTTTTTTTGCGATTGTTTATTAATTGTATATCAAGCTATTCTCAACGGAGTCCGCGCAATCATGCAATGTTTTATTGTATACTGCAATTGGAAACGTCTGTTGTGTAACTTGTGTACCTTGTGTCAGATTGACTGCTTTATAGCCTCCATTATCGTGCACACACTGACAGTTTGGTTGCTCTGGCATAATACTGCATCTTGTGTCTTGCAAAGTCGAAGAGTCTGTTTTTTTTCCTATGGATTCAGAGAATTTCAGACTCATGCAGTGCAATGTTTACTGTTATCTTTTTTTCTTTTTTGTCAGTGGTCAATGCAGCGCAAAGTTTAGCAATCCATTAGCTTGTGCACGAAAAAAAAAAAAAAAAAAAGGCCTTAGCGAAGTTAGCGGCAAGTTGGCAACACCAAGTTCGCCACCCGCCCCGTACCTATTACGGACTTCGCCAGGGCTCGATCCCTAGTCTATCTCCTTGCTGTTTCGGCTGCATCCCGTTTTCGGCCTGGCACCCTTTTCCCAAACCCCTCCTTTGGTACCGTAGGATTTTGGACAACTGGCGTCATGCTGCAATTCGGGCGCCACTTTCAAATACTGCATTTTTCATTTCTGCCCTCGGGGCCTTTGCAGAAATGCCCCCGGTACCGTACGTGTCACCGGTACTTATACCGGCTCCCCGTACGGTACGGGGACCAGTCTCGTACCAGTTCTCTGCTGCTGTACTTGTACTCAGTGTGACTTGCCGTTTCGGCATTCGGAATCCAAGACTTCGACTTTGTGCCTTGCCACTGTGTCTGCGTCCGACCCTCAGTCCGAGTCCGTCGTGTCGAGTGAGTGAGTGTGTGTGTGTGCTCTCACTCTCCCCCTCTCTCTCTCCTCTCCCTCGGCTCACCCTCAGCCTCACGCTCGTTACAGTACCACTGCAGTGACGGCACTACTATTAGTCTACTACCCTACTCGCGCAACGCGAAAGTGGCGCCGCCAAGTTGCGCCAACCAGTGCTTACTCTTGTCTGCCACTGAGCCACTGGTGACTGGGCCCTATCCCCAACGGCCAGGGCCCTGCAGGCTGCACGGCCTGCAGAGTCATGCAGACTGCGGTGCCTCCAGGTCCCTCACCCCCAGAGGCCAGGCCCTGCACCCTGCAGGGCCTGCAAACTGTAGTGCCCCCACTTCACCAACCCATGGTGTCGTAGGCCCGTAACCGTTACCCCACATGGGCTCTATCCCGGGATTCCTGACTATCCGGGTCAACCGGGCCACATCCCCGAGTCCCCAACCCACAACGCGCCCCCCGCCCCCCCCCCCCCCCCTCCCCCCTCCCCCCTCCCCCTCCGCGGAGAAGGCCCCACAGCGCCGCCCCCCACAGTGGGCCACAAGGCCCACAACCACGACTCCTCAATCCCAGCACCGCCCGCACCAGTCACCCCAACCGTCGGCCCTAGCCCCGTCCGGTGTCCGCCATCCCCCCAAGGCCCCCCCCCCCCCCCCAAGGCCCCCACCACCCGCAACCCCGCCCCGTCACCCGACTCACCTCACCCACCCACCCCGCCTCGTCACCCCGATGTCGTGGCAAACACCCTTACAAGGGTATTTGCCGTTGTTTTGAAAGGTCGCGCTGGGTCCGACCTTGGTCACAGAAATGCGCCGATAGGACGAGTTCTGACGGTACTCGTGTCTTAGTAATTTGTGGGAGGCGAGTTGATTAACCTAAGTATGCAGCTTGAGGTTAGAGAGTGTGTGGGCATACTCTTTTGAGTATGCGATTGTCGTAATTAGCGATTGCGGTCGGATTGACGGTCGATAGAGAAACCGGCCCCTTTGGGCAAAGATGCAAGGCATAGGGGGATTAAACTTTGATAAGCAAGTGTCATATGCGCCTTATGTGCGGGTGTAGTAGTTGATTTTGTAAAACTGGTTGTTTTGCTACCAGTATTGAGAAACGTTAGTTGAACTTTGTTCTCAAATCGATGGAGGCTCGGTGTAAAGTAGTGCCCGCAACGGCAACGAGTATTAGAGTAGGGGCCTTAGTACTACCGAGGCAGCCCATTGGGCCATCACTAGTAGGGGTTCCGCATACCAAGTGCGAAGACCGCGGCCTTGGGGCCAGCGACGCGATCGAGTAGGGAAGAGGGCCTACTTGAATATGTATGGTAGGCCTACCTGGTGGCGGATACTACTTGAATGAAGTTCCACGCGCGATTGTGTCAGGTTTGGGTTTAACCCTATTGGTTACAACAATCACCTTCACCAGGGAGATCACCTTCACCAGGGAGATCCGGGGATCGAGGCTAGCAAGCGACGATAAAGTAAAGGAGCACAATTGGAAGAGACTGAGGGGTTGAGGGTCTTTAGGGACTACCCCCCCTTGGTTTTGCCAAACAGGTCCAGTCGGGGTCTAACTGGCGAAACCAAGAGGGCGCCGGCGGGACCTCGTCGTCGTCGGTTCTACTAATTTTATTTTTGATATGTTTTTACTTGTATTTTTATTTTTATTTTTTCTCTTGAAATCCCGTCTTGAACAGAGCCGGAAAACTGGCTCTGGGACCGACGGCGAAAAAGTACCGCGAGGAAGGATGAAAGGAACCTTGAAAGAAAGAAAAAAACTCTTGAAACTGTCGAGCGATGAGCGGATGGAGAGAAGTCCCACACCTGGTCGAGGGCAAACGGCGACTTGGTCACCGCCATCATTGGCCAAGACGCTGGGTGCCTGCCAACATGGGTTGTTGTGACAGCATTGCATTGGGGAATGATTGGAACTTTGCCCCGCGGGTGGCCGTCACGGCAACCGATGACCTTGAGTACGCGCCTCTTTTAGCAGTGACGTTCGGGGTCCTACGTATTCGGGGTGCTGACAAAATTCCTTTATCCTGCCCGTTTTGAAAGCACAGACCGAAGGGGCCAACGTGCAGGTGAGCCTGTGGGTGCAAAGCCCTCAAAGCAGCGGGATACCGAGTGGCGGGGATCTCCTGCAGATGCACCGTCCGCTAGCCAGGATCTGTTGCTGGAAGGCTGGAGTGTGAGCAGGGCCGTGGGACCCGAGAAATAGTCAACTGTGCTCGGGGAAGGCATGGTCTACCAGCCAAGGTTTGTTGTAAAGAGGTTTGAGTTTAACAGGTCTGCGGGATCAGTACGACTGGGCCTAGCTCTGGTACACCCGCAGACTGTTTGAAACCAGGTCTGCGGGATCAGTGCCACTAGGCCTAGCTCAGTTGGTACACCCGCAGACTGTTGAAAACCAGGTCTGAGGGATCAGTGCCACTGGGCCTAGCTCAGTTGATACACCCATTAACTAGTGAAACCAGGCCTGTGGGACCAGCCCCACGGCAAGTTCGGCTGGTATACACCGCAGATTGCTGTAAGTAGGCCTGTGGGACCAGCACCTGCGGACATAGATCAGCTGGTACACCCGCGGAGTGCTGAAAGTAGGCCTGTGGGACCGGCAGTTGCGGGACCTAGCTCAGTTGGTACACCTGCAGACTGTTGGAAAACAGTTCTGGGGGATTTGTACCAGCGGTAGCTCGGTTGGTACGCTCGCAGACTGTTGAAAAAACAGTCCTAAGGGATCATCACCTAAGCAAGTTCATCTGGTACACCCGCAGGCTGTTGAAAAACAGGCTTGTGGGACCTGCACCAGTAGGCCAAGCTCAGGTGGTATACCCACGAACTGTTGAGATACAGGATGGGGTTCGAATCCAGGTACAGTCAGAAAAACAGACCACAGCCTCGTGAGCTAGTCTGAAAAGTCCCGTGGTGAAAAAAAAAAAAA